CTCTCTCCCCCGCACTCGGGAACCACTCCCGTTTGCATAATCCCCTACGGCGAAGTTCGCACCGGTCGCTCGCGCGCTCCCGGACGAGAGGCGCGTCCCGACGTCGTCGTCGACAATGATGACAACGAAGACGACGACGAGAAACGAAAGAGAGTCTTTCCGCCGTTCTTTCGCTTTGGTAATACCTCTTCTTCTGATCTCGCCTTCCGATACGAGGAAAGGATGGGCGGAGATGAAGGAAGTGCCTCTCAAACTTCGCTACTGCACCCGCAGGAGCTATTTGCAACGGATTTCGCGGTCGTACGTCGGATACGAAGTTATGTGCTATATAACTATGGTTTGGATATATATGCGGGGGAAAGTAGAACAACCAATGGCATTCCTGGCTTATAAACGTAACGATAAACGAAACGGAAAGATTTCAGGGTTTTGCGACTATTTTCTTGTAATATTCAACGAACAATTGGATCTTTATTGATTTGCGCCTTTCATGATTGGAACGGTCTATCGTTTCAATCTTTTATAAATTGCCTCAACTCGGTTGAGTTATTGTTTGTCTTCAATAAAAATACATTCTTTTTATAACCGAGTTTCGAAAGTCAAATATATTGTGATTCTACGATCAAGTTTGTCATCTCCGTAATCTTAACACCACATATAACAATCGCGCATTTCCGATATATAACTTTTCGATAATTGCATTAATTTTAATATATTGAATACATTTCTACAATTCAAACTTTCGACGCAAAAAACCTTCGCTCAAATTGCATTGCACGGTGATAAATACCAAGGAGATGGTATCTATCTTTTCGTAATCACTTTTCTCTCTCTCTCTCTCTTTCTCTCTGGTGTAATAGGCGTTTGTCAACGAGACGCAATTCATGGCCGTCCAGTCGATCAACGTGAGAGCCTTCGATGTCCCATTCATTCGATTCGTCTCACCGAACGATGGTTTCGCGAGGGCAGAACAGAGAGTTGGTAACGAGGAGATAGAAAGCGAGACGAAGAGAGAGAGAGAGAGAGAGAGAGAGAGAGAGAGAGAGAGAGGAGAGAGAGAGAGAGAGAGAGAGAGAGAGAGAGAGAGAGAGGAAGACGGAAGCAAATGTAGGTGCGTGGAGATCGGGAAGAGAGAGAGAACGTTGCCGAGAACGGAGAGGTAGCATTACCGAGAAAAATCGAGAGGCTCGAAGCCATTTTCGCAAACATAACCCAGTTACCCGATATCTCGCGAAATGATCGGCCGCCAACCGTCGTCGTCTTCTTCGTCGCCGTCGTCGTCGTCGTCGTCGTCGTCGTCGACGATAGAAATTCAATCTGGTTGGCACGCCTGGAAATTGGAAGAGCCACCTACCCCTGGATGCTTCTACCCTGAAGGGGCGCGCGCGGTAGAAAGGAGAACCTCGAGTCGGATCGGGAGCATTTGGAAAAGTAATTCACGACGCCATTCTTCGCAACCCCCCCGGCCTCTCTCCCTTCCACCGTGTCCCGCCGCCGCCGCCACCACCATCGCGACCATAAGCGGTCTCGCTCTGAAACCTCAATCTCCCCCCTCCCGCCTCTCCCACGACGAACTGCATCCGCGGATAACGCGAACGAGAAATTTCACAGGCGAACTCGCGCTAATTCCGTAGGAATTCGAATGCTGGTTAAACTGTTATACGAGGTATGTGGCCGCGCGCTCGCACCAAAGGCAGAGGAGACGCGAAAATAGCCGGGAAGGCCGTATAACGTTAAAGTTTCAATTATAATGCCGAGAACGAACGACTTGTGGCTCGAATTACGAGGGCCGCGCGGCATTCCAAAGTCGATACGTGCGAACCGTTCATCTTGAGAGCGATAAAATTTGTTTTTTTTTCCCCCGAACATTTGAAGACTTTTCGAGACTCTGGCGGATATCACCTTCGGATATTCTGACAAAACGAGCAGCAAATAACTCTATATCACACTTTCTCGGTGCATGAACAAGTGAAAGATCACAGGGAAACGATTTCTCTTAGTTGTTTCACAAATCGTCAAACACTCTTTATAGCGGCGAGATTCTCGGCTTATTTATTATATCCGCCGGTTTCTATTTCCACGGCGCGGTTTTCCGACAGCTCGTTAGCTGTTTAAACAGAGAGCGCGTTTATAATTTATTTCTATCCCGAGCGATCTCCGTTCGGACAACATCAAATCCGCGCAGAGAGGCGGCGCCGATAGAGACAGCGGGAATTCATCGGCGATGTCATATTTGGCGATGTGGGGGTTTGGAGACGAGAATTATTATTAAATTTCGGAGACCGATTCGTTCCCAACCCCAACGCCGGTGGTGACGGTAGCGGTGTGGTAGCGTTTGCCCGCCTCAAATACCCGGTTAATTCGCTCGGCAAATTAAAGGCAAATACACGACTGCGATTTTGCAACTGATCATTTCCGCCGCACCGGACGGTCAGCGTTTTTTCCCTTCCCGATATTTCATCATTGACGTCACCGTCGCGAGGACGGATACATTAAGAACGTTCATGGGGAAGAAGTGCTCGGAGAAGGATCCCCTCCGGATTTATTAATTTCCAGAAACGTTAATGACAAGTTTGTTTCCGCAATCCTGTTAGGCTTGCCGAATGCACTTTTTATCGTCTAATATCCTCAATTTTTTCAATTCTAGTTGTATGATTCGCAAGCAGCCAAAATTAATTTCAAACTTTGCAACTTCGATTTTAGACGACTTGTAGAAGTCTTTTTTCATAATACTGGATTTTTTTATAAATACGGATAGAACTCAATAGAAATTGTATAAAAGTATATTACACGCCGTGGGGATTTTAATCTATGGGCGCTCTCGTCAGCAATGCGTTCGTCTAGTGTAATTCAGGTCTTTCAATGAAACGGCTGCCTTTGTCAGTCGCGCGCTTTTTTTTCCTAGTTTCATGATGACAGAACATCGTCGTTTCATTCCCGCCCTTGTCTATCTCATCCCTTACCTAGCTTTGCCCAACCGTCGATGTGTGCCGATAGAGAAGTATTCTCAACAAGTGCCGTTGTACAATACGTTTCGTCGTTAGCATTTTCGTCGGAATTTCTCATTATCAAATATCTATCGCGAATTTTCAATATTAAATATTCTAAACAAAATGTAAAATCTTTACAGCGAATAAAAGCTAAAACTTTATTATTTGCTTGCACCGTTGAAGCATAACTTACTATTTCTTTAAGCCCTATTCTTTCTATTATCCATT